ATTACTCTACCCAGCAAAGCTATCATTTAGAATTGAAGGTCAGATAAAGAGCTCCCCAGACAAGAAAAGTAAAAGGAGTTCATCACCACCAAGCCAGTATTACAATGAAATGTTGAAGGGTATTCTTTTTAAAAATACATATTTTATTGATTTTTTACAGAGAGGAAGGGAGAGGGATAGAGAGTTAGAAACATCAATGAGAGAGAAACATCTATCAGCTGCCTCCTGCACACTCCCTACTGGGTATGTGCCCACAACCAAGGTACATGCCCTTGACCAGAATCGAACCTGGGACCCTTGAGTCTGCAGGCCGACGCTCTATCCAGTGAGCCAAACCAGTCAGGGCTGAAGAGTATTCTTTAGGAAGAGGAGGAGGAGGAGGAGGAGGAAGAAGAAGAATATGAACAATAAAATGGCAATAAATACATTCACAACTGAATCTAAAAATCAAAATAAACAAGGAACCTAATGAATAAAATAAACTGATGAACAAAACAGAACCAGAGGCATGGAAACATGGAACAGACTGTTGAATCTCAGAGGGAAGGGGGAGGATGGGGCAGGAAGAGATTAACCAAAGAACTTATATGCATATATGTATTACCTATGGGCACAGACAATAAGGTGGTGAAGGCCTGGGGTGGTGCAGGAACCAGATGGAGGGGGCCAATGAGGGGGGAAAGGGGGAACATCTTTAATACTCTCAACAATAAATACTAAAAAAAAAAAAAAAAAAGAATAGCCTTGCTGGGTAAAGTAGTCTTGGTTGTAGGTCTTGCTTTTCATCACACCTAACTGTCTTTCTCTTAATTGCTTTTAAACTTCTCTCGTTGTCTTCAACCTTTGCCATTTTAATTATGACGTGTCTTTGTGTGGGCCTTGTTGGGGTCATCTTGTTTGGGACTCTCTGTGCTTCCTGGACTTGTGTATCTTTTTCCTTCACCAGGTTAGGGAAGTTTTCAGCCATTATTTGTTCAAATAAATTCTCAATCCCTTATTCTCTCTATTCTCCTTCTGGTACCCTTGTGATGCAGTTATTGTTACACTTTATGGTGTCCCGGGGTCCTTTAAAGTATCCTCAATTCTTTTTTTTTTTTTTTTTTTTTTTTTTTGCTGCTGTAATTGGGTGATTACCCTCTTTGTTTAGGGGCTTTCTAAACATCTTGACAGGCAACATCTTCTCTAGAGGGATAGGAAAGTTTGCGGATTCTACTAGATCTTTTGGGCCCCAGGCCACAAGGTACAGTAATATCAGTGAGGCCAGGAATATATTTTCCTACTAATTTTACAATGACCAACTTGAGAACACTTAGATTGGCATCCGCAATGCAACCCTGAAGAGATTTGTACTTTTTCTCTCCAGTGCTTTTTGGTCTATAACAGGAATGCCCCTTACTCAGCAGCGAGTGACATGGCCATAGGTCAAGACATTGGGATCCATGGGAAACCCTTGTTTGTCATTCTCACTACTGATTGGAAACACACAACCCTTCCATTCTTCACCCAGAGCATCAGCAGCAACTTCTGTGGCCATACGCTTCTCATAAAAGGTATGAGGTTTGTGTTCATCATTCACTTCAATGAGTTTCTGGCAGCCAGTGAATGGGAAAGAGATCTTCAGCTTTATCCTGAAGCAGGCAACCACCATTTGCAACAGCATGGATGGAACTGGAGAGCACCATGCCAAGCGAAACAAGCCAGTCAGAGAAAGACAAATTTCACATAATCCCACTCATTCGCGGAACATAACGAACAACATAAACTGATGAACAAAAACAGATCCAGAGACAGAGAAGCATCGACCAGACCGCCAAACCTCAGAGGGAAGGCAGGGGAGGGCGGGGGTAATGGGAGAGATCCCTTCTGGTGTATTCTTCATTTCACATATTGTATTCTTCATTTCTGACTTGTTCTTTTCTTATGCCTTCTATGAGTTTTTTTTAAGCTTACTATCTCTTTGTTCGACTTCTGAGTTCATCCATTCTTCCCCAAAGTTCCTTGAGCATTCTTATAACCATTGTTTTGAGCTCTACATCTGGGTAATTGCTTTCCTCCATTTCATTTAGCTCTAGTTATGGGTTCTTTCATTTGGGGCATGTTTCTTTGTCTCCCCATTTGGGCTGTCTCTTTGTATTTGTTTCTATGTATTAGGTAGATCTGCTACTCAGTCTTGGTAGGGTGTCCTACTGTAGTAGGTGTCCTGTGGGACCCAGTGGCACAGTTTCCTTGATCACCTGCACTGGGTACTCCTGGAATGGCCCTTGTGTGGATTATGTGGGCCCTCCTGTTTTAATTGAGTCTTGATTACTGTTGGCCTGTTTGTGTGTATGGTCGACCCTTAGCTGTCTAACTGTGGGGGTCAACCCTCACCACAGTGTACTAGCTTCTGTGCAGGTGCTAATTACACAGAGTGGAATTCATCTCAGCAGAGTCTGGTACCTGCTGAGATCTCCCTTTGGATATGCTACTTGGGAAGGTAATTGGATCCTGCTCTGGTGTTGCTTGAAGCTGGTCACTGGGTGTGTTGGTTCTTGTACTGCTTGGGAGGGACTCGGGTGCAGGACAATGTCAGACGCTGCCTATGACTGCCCCCTGGGTAACCTGTTTAGAACTACAGTGATCCATAATTTGTGGCTGCCTCTGCTGGATCTGGTTGTGCATAGGAAGCATCAAGCTGCACACCAAGGTTGACTTACCAGCACCAGGCCTGAGGATAGGTCAGCAAAATTCCCTAGGAAGTCTGAGGTTCGCCTCTGCCTGCTTCTGCCTGCTAGCTGCTTGTTAGACTCAGTCACTAAAAGAGCCTCTGGCTGTACTCGAGTTGCATGAGGTAGGTTCTCAGTGAATCCTCAATTAGGAGTGAGTGCTGTTCACCAGATCTATACAGGTTCAAACTTGGTGCCAGTGCTGAGTTTAAGGCCACTCAGCAATGTTCCCAGGGTATTCAAAGTCTAGCTGCCACTCTCTTGGTGCTTGCACACCTTTGTGGTGGGGAGGAGTCTTGGGGAGTTGTCAGGGTGAGGCCAGCAGAGTTTATCAGGCCCAAACACACCAATATTTGGCCTTGTGCAGGGAAAGCTCTGCACTGTTTGGGCTTGCGAGGGAAAAATTCCCCCTGTCCTAGAGCCACACAACTAGGTCTGTCCCAGATACTGCCAGGAGCCCCATCTCAGCAGGGTGGGGCTCTTCAGCCTTGGGGAACTTGGGGGGATGGCCCTCACCCCAGTGCCACACAATTCAGTTTGTCCTAGATTCTGCCCAGATCTCAGCAGGGTGGAGCCACCAAGACTAAGGGTAGGGCCTCAGGAGCCTGGAGAGCGGGGCTAGTGGATCTCTGGTGAGGGGAAGGTACCAGTTATGTTCATGGGAAAGTGCGGAGGCATGGCCCCCACTTCAAAACCATACAACTCAGTAACTGATATCCCCTAATCTGCCCAGATTGGTACACCCTGGCCCAGGCAGCTTACTCCTCAGCAGGACACAAGCTCCACAGGACGGGTCAACAGGGAGACCAGAGGGTAGGGTTATTGCATTTTCCCAGGCTGATGCTGTATGCAGGGGCATGCTCCATCCAAGAAATATGGTGTCTGCGGTGCAGTAGTGTGACTCAGCCCAGGGCGTCCTGGCAATTGTCCCCTCAGCTCTCTCTCCAAAGCCATACACTCGCATGACTCTAGCCCGCTCCACTCTCCCTCCACCAGGGTGAGTGGCTGCAAAGGAGATTTTGTGTGTTGGCCCTTTAAGAGAGGTGCTTGTGTCTCACTGCACCCCTACACCTATTCTGCTTCAGTGAGGCTCATCCCTGAAGTCAGTTATACCCTGTGCTCCCCCCACCCTCACTCCACACACCTCCAGGTTGAACAGCAACAACCACACAACAAAGTTAGAGTATTTCCTTTTTTATTTCAAATCAGAGTTCTCCACTTCCTCCTCTTAGATGGGACAACAACTGTTAAGAACATCCTTTCTCTGCTCATTTTGCTTACCTCTCCACAGAGCACCCCGCCCCTGCCATTGCTCCTCAGTCTTTCCAAACTTCAAAAACAACTAAAAGGTGAAAGTGGTTTTGTAGCCTGTGCAACAAAATATTCATGTGTATGCAATTAATTATTAAAGAGACTTTGTTCTCCCTGTCAGAGAAGTTTAATATTTAGTTTGAGGCATAAAGAAGAAAAGAATTCCCATTCTCCAGCCATGAGCTTTTGTGTCAGTTTTCATTTAAGTTTGAGAAAAATGAAGGAACAGTTGGGCCATTTTTTGTTTTGTGAGCGTATCAGTGCTTTGCCTTTGGCCACAACTATGGCTCTCTTGCCATTTTCAAACTTGGGAGACTAGATGGCTATTGCAATTGCGGATCCTATGAGAATGTGAAACTGGATAATATATGAAATGCAAAGTAAAAAAAAATCACCCAAAGAAAGAAAATTTATAAACAATTCACACACTTCAATAGCAACACAAAAAAAAATGCAATTTAAAAATGGGCAGAGGATCTGAATAGTTGTTTTTCTAATACAGATATACAGATGGCCAACAAGTACATAAAACATGCTCAACATCACTAATCATCAGGGAAATGCAAATCAAAACCATAATGTGATATCACCTCACACCTGTTAGAATGGCTATTATAAAAAAGACAAAAAAAATAATACGTGTTGGTGAGGATGTGGAGAAAAGGGAATGCTTTCCCACTGTTGGTGGGAAAATAAATTGGTACAGCTACTATGCAAATCAAAACAGATGTTATTTTTTTTGTTTGTTTCAGCTGTCACTTTATTGTAAGATGATAGCATTAATTACAAATTTAAATTATAACTTGGTAGTCTTTAGTCAGGTACCAAATTGTATTAAAAGGAAACTGCTTATTCAAAAGTGATCATAGAACAACGCAAAATGCAGAGCAAGAAGGACAATAAACATCTCACTGGCCAATAGATTGTTTTAATTCTCTCACTAGATGAAACTCACGCTTTTCTTTTTTTTTTTTTCGCTTTTCATTTTTAAGTGGGGTAAACTGTAACACCAGCAGATGGCGATACAGAAAGCTTTTGTCACAGCCTAGTTTCCAGTCCATCACTCAAGTGTTTCTAGCTGTCTCAGTCGGGATAGATGCATTACATAACTGGCTGTGCTTGAGCCTTCTTTGCAAGCAGCTTTAGATCTGAAGTGCACTTGGCAATTGTCTCCTTTTCTTGCTGTGCAGAGATGCTCTGTACCACATGCTTCTCCACCCACTGCACCATGTGCTCTTGTTCCTTCCAACGCATCATATTCTGCACAGAGATATGATAGTCCAAGCGATTCTTGACCTCCTTGTATACTCTATGCAACCGTTCCCGGTAAGTAACCTCCAAGGCCATAGCAATGTTATTCCTCTGGACATCAAAAAGGTAATGGCGCTTTTGAACCAGTGCCTGTTGGGACTTCTCCAGATCAATTGCATCCTGGATGCCTTTGATGGTAGCCTGTTTCACTTCTTCTAGTTGGGCAATTTGTTGCTCATTGAGTTTATCAGCAAATTCCCCAATAGAGGCACCATATTTTTTTAATTGTTTTATTGCTTAAAGTATTACAAAGGGTATTACATATGTCTCCTTTTTTCCCCCGCCCTTGACAATCCCCTGGCCTCCCCTACCCCCCATTGTCTTATGTCCATTGGTTATGCTTATATGCATGCATATAAGTCCTTCGGTTGATCTCTTACACCCCCTTCTGCCCCCCTACTCTCCCCGGCCTTCCCGCTGCAGTTTGACAATCTGTTTGAGGCAGCTCTGCCTCTGTATCTATTTTTGTTCATAAGTTTATAATGGTCTTTATTATCCATGAATGAGTGAGATCATGTGGTATTTTTCCTTCATTGACTGGCTTATTTCACTTAGCATAATGCTCTCCAGTTCCATCCATGCCGTTGCAAATGGTAAGAGTTCCTTCTTTTTTACAGCAGCATAGTATTCCATTGTGTAGATGTACCACAGTTTTCTAATCCATTCATCTATTGATGGGCACTTAGGCTGTTTCCAGATCTTAGCTATGGTGAACTGTGCTGCCATGAACATATGGGTGCATATATCCTTTCTGACTGGTGTTTCTGGTTTCTTGGGATATAGTCCTAGAAGTGGGATCACAGGGTCAAATGGGAGTTCCATTCCCAGCTTTTTCAGGAAACTCCATACTGTCTTCCATAGTGGCTGCACCAGTCTGCATTCCCACCAGCAGTGCACGAGGGTTCCTTTTTCTCCACATCCTCTCCAGCACTTGTCGTTTGTTGATTTGTTGATGATGGCCATTCTGACAGGTGTGAGATGGTACCTCATTGTTGTTTTGATTTGCATCTCTCGGATGATTAGTGACTTTGAGCATGTTTTCATATGTCTCTTGGCTTTCTGAATGTCCTCTTTTGAAAGGAGTCTATTTAGATCCTTTGCCCATTTTTTGATTGGATTGTTTATCTTCCTTTTGTTAAGTTGTATGAGTTCCCTATAAATTTTGGAGATTAAGCCCTTATCAGATATGACATTGGCAAATATGTTTTCCCACGCAGTGGGCTTTCTTGTTGTTTTGTTGATGGTTTCTTTTGCTGTGCAGAAGCTTTTTATTTTGATGTAGTCCCATTTGTTCATTTTCTCTTTAGTTTCAAGTGCCCTAGGAGCTGTATCTGTGAAGAAATTGCTTCGGCATATGTCTGAGATTTTGTTGCCTTTGGATTCTTCTAGAATTTTTATGGTTTCCCGTCATACATTTAAGTCCTTTATCCATTTTGAGTTTATTTTTGTGTATGGTGGCACCATATTTTTTAATGACATAGACAAGCAACCCTATTGTTGATAGAGCAGAGATGGTGTCTGGAGTAACCACATATATTTCTTTGGATAGAAAATATAAGATAAGCCCAGTTCTGAGCACATAGGGTCCTGTTACACCGGTTTTAGGATAAAGAAACTGGAAGAATTCCTCAGGGATCAGTCCAAGACGAAGTTTTCCTCCATATTCAGGAAGAGGTGGTACAGGGGCAAGACTTGGCTGCCCAGTGTGAAAGATCCTTGTTGCTTGCACTACCCCGGGACTGAGGAGGGCGGCGTTTTTCAGGGAGGGGGCTGTTGCAGCGGCTGCAGAAAACACCACCCGAGACAGCATGGTCAGCGAGGGCAGGCTCGGCGGTCCTTCAAAACAGATGTTATTTTAAAAAAGAGAGTGTGCTTGTGTCTCTAGCAGACTCATCTCTCTCCCTGGCATACAGAAACCCCACTGATTTTCACAGCCAGATGTTATGTGGGTGCCTCTTCTCAGCTCTGGTATTCTGGATTGGGGAGCCCCAGTTGGGTTTGAGACCCCGCGCTTCTCAGGGGGAACCTTTGGAGCTAAGATATTCCTCCAGAATCTCAGCTGCCACCCATGGGAACAGGCCAGCCCTTTTTGTGTCTCTGTACTTCCTACCAGTCTCAATGTAATTTCTGTAAATCCTTGGTTGTAAGTTAGTCTTCAGTTGGTTATTCAGGTTGATTGCTCCATATTTTAGTTGTACTTCCAGTTTAGTCCAGGATGGAGATGAGTGTAGCTTCCCCATACTCCTCTGCCATCTTCCAGTCTTTCTGAGGTGAGATCTCATTGTGGTTTTAATTCGTATTTCTTTGAAGATTAGTGACATTGAGCATCTTTTCATATGTCTATTGGCCATCTGTATGTCCTCTTTGGGAAAGTGTCAATTCAGGCCCTCTGTCCTTGTTTTCATTGGGGTTTTTTTGTTTGTTTGTTTTGAGTAGTATGAATTCATTATATTATATCTAATTTTAGATATTAACCCCTTATCAGATGTATTATTGGTGATTATGTTCTCCCATTCAGTAAATTGCCTTTTCATTTTGTTGATGTTTTCCTTTGCTGTACAAAAACGTTTTAGTTGGATGTAGTCTCATTTGTTTATTTTTTCTTTTGTTTCGCTTGCCTGAAGAGATATATCAGAAAAAAATATTGCTAAGAGAACTATTAGAGATTTTACTGCCTGTGTTTTCTTCTGGGAGTTTTATGGTTTTGAATCTTACATTTATACCTTTAATACATTTTTATTTTATTCTTGTATATGGTGTAAGAATGTTCCTACAATAAATCTCTTAATATATATCTTCTACTGGTTCTGTTTCTTTTGTTGAACTCAAAGTATTTTCTTCATCTAGTATGGGAAATCCTTATTTCATTGACAAATGTATGAAGGCACTCCCCAAACCCCTTTTTCTGTACCTGAAGGGGGAAGATCAACTTCACTTGCCTCTGATTGGAAGGAAAACATTCTTCAGGTCCCAGGAAAGATTCCTTAGTGTCAGGAACAATGTGCTAATTGTCAAGTTAACCACACTATTATTGGTTGGCTGGATGATGCCAGACTGCTGTTAAATGCATTAAAAAAGAAAGCATAAATGAGCAAAGAAATGAGAGTGGATAAAGTATAAAATAAATGTATATGAATCCATACTGATATAATAGTGATTTATAGAATAAATAGATAAATAAATGGAAGAGGCAAATCTCTCATGCAGAAGAATTCAAAATATTTAATTTAGTACTCTGTCCTCAAGGAGGTGGAGAATTACTCTATTTCTTTTTTAATGTTATTTTTGTTTATTTATTATTTTATTTTTAAATATATTTATATTGATTTCAGAGAGGAAGGGAGAGGGAGCGAGAGATAAAAACATCAATGAGAGAGAATCATTGATTGACTACCTCCTGCATGCCCCCTTCTGGGGATCGAGCCCGCAACCCAGGCGTGTGCCCTTGACCAGAATCGAACCCAGGACCCTTCAGTCCACAGGCCGACGTTCCAACCACTGAGCTAGGGTTTCTTTTTTTTTTTTTTTTAAGTAAGAAAGAAGGGAGCTCACCCTGCCAGTGTGATTCAATGGTTGACCATCGACCCAGGAACCAAGAGGTTGCTGGTTCGATTCCCAGTTAGGGCATATGCCTGGATTGCAGGTTCAATCCCCAGTAGGGGAGCATGCAGGAGGCAGCCGATTGATGATGTTCCTCTCTCATTGATGTTTCTATCACTCTATCCCTCTCCCTACCTCTCTCTCTAAAAATCAATAAGAACATTTTTTTAAAAGAAGGGAGCTTATTTCATGATTTTTAGGAGTCCAGTAATGGACCCCAGGGACAAAATTTAGCCCATGGTAAGGTAAGCTCTAGAGGAGGCCCGGCCTGCCCTAGAACAGCCCTGGGGCTCAGAAAAGTTGCTGAGCTGGGAAGGTTTGTCACTGGACAGCAGGTTGAGCCAACTTAAGAATGTAAGAGAGTGAGTCCATGCCCCTTCAGCCATCCCCGAGTTGGGTGTGCACAGTAACTTCCTTCCAAAGACAGCAGTTTGGATGGGGGCGGGGGAGAATAACTTTATAGTGAAGAAATCTAACACTACCTCAGTCAGGTGATCAAAAGCAACATCAACAGTGAAAAGTCATGTTGATAATATATAGTATATCATAGCTAGGATGCAGTGAAAATGCCATTGTATTTTTGTGGTCTTCTACCCTAAAACCTATAACTCCAGTCTAATCATGAGAAAAACAGAAAAACCCCAATTGAGGGACATACAGAAAGCCTGACCAGCACTCCTCAGAACTATAAGGGTAATTAAAAACAAGGGAAATCTGAGAAACCATCGCAACCAAGAGGAGCCTAAGGAAAGATGATGACTAATTGTAATGTGGTGTCCTGGATGGGATTCTGGACCAGAAAAAAAGACATTAGGTAAAAACTAAAGAAGTATGAGTAAAGTATGGACTTTGGTTAATAATGATGCATCAATATTGGTTCACAAATGTAATTATAACAAATGTGTACCATACAATGTAAGATGTTAATAATAGGGAAACTGTTGGGTACATGGGAACTCTTTGTACTATCTGCTTAGTTTTTCTGTAAATATCAAACTGCTCTAAAAAGAAAGCTTATTTATTGACACAATAAAAAGATCAGTGGTTACCAGAGGTTCAGGGGATGCCAGGGGAGGTTGAATAGGTGAGGCACAGGTTTTTTTTTTAGGGCAATGAAACTCTACTGTATGATATTGTGGTGGTGGATACATGTCATTGTCAAGGCCCATAGAATGTGCAGCACAAAGACTGAACCCTGATGTAAACTATAAACTATTAGATTGTAACAGTGTTTTAATATTGGTTTATTAATTGTAACAAATGTACCACACCATTGTAAGATGTTCATAATTGAGAAAACTGCATGTGGAGGTAAAAGTGATTGGGGGTGGAGAGGGTGGGTTGGATATATAGAACTTTATGTAATATTCGATTATTCTGTAAATCTCAAATGGTACTTAAAAAAATAAACCTACTAAAATCAATGAGCAAAGGACTTGAATAGACATTTCTCCAAAGATGATACACAAATGGCCAACAAACACCCGAAAAGATGCTCACCATCACTAGTCAATAGGGAAATGCAAATCAAATCCACAATGAGATACAACTTTACATCCACTAGTATGGCTATATTATTTTTTAAAAAGGAAAATAAATGTTGGTGAGGATGTGGGGAAATTGGAACCCTTGTGCATTACTGGTGGGAATGTAAAATGGAGCGGCCATATGGAAGACAATTCGACAGTTCCACATATATTTTTTAAAAATTGAATTACTATAAGCTCCAGTCATTCCACTTCTAGGTATATACCCAAAAAGAAATGAAAACAGGTATTCAACCCAAAACTTGTACACAAATGTTCACAGCAACACTGTTCACAACAGCCAAAGAGTGGAAACAACCCAAATGTTCATCAATGGATGAATGAATAAATAAATTGTGTTATATGTATACAATGAAATTTTACTCAAACATGAAAAGGGATTAAGTACTGATACATGGTATAACATGGATAAACCTTGAAAACATGTTATGTGAAGAAAAAACTAAAGGTCACATATTGTATGATTTCTTTTTTATTAAATTTCCAAAATAAAACTCATTGACACAGAAAGCAGATTAGTGGTTGCTAGGGGCTGCGGGAGGGGAGGAATGGGAATTGAGTTCTTTTTTTGGGGGGGTGGGGGGAATTGAGTTCTTCATGTATATGTGGCTTCCCATTGGGATGATGAAAAGTTTTTGGAACCAGATAGAGGTGATGGTTACACAATATTGTGAATATACTACATGCCACTGAATTGTATATTTTAAAATAGTAATTTTCTGTTATGTGACTTTTACCTCAGTTTTATTTATTTATTTATTTATTTTAAATATGGAATGCTTCACGAATTTGTGTGTCATCCTTGCGCAGGAGCCATGCTAATCTTCTCTGTATCGTTCCAATTTTAGTGTATGTGCTGTCGAAGTGAGCACTACCTCAGTTTTAAAAAGAGGAATTTACAAAGTATGTAGAGGAAGGAACCACTAACTGCATCAGGAGAGGTCCAGAAGATGGCAGGATGGGAAGGCTTAAAGAAATTTTCATAGAAGTGATGTTTGAATTGAATTGAGCCAACCCAATTATGAAACATTTATTGTGTGCATACTAAATGCCATGCACTAAGGTAGGCATTGAGGAGATTTTATATATATATATATATATATATATATATATATATATATATATATATTCAGATTTCGTTTGCCCTCTCAGAGAGCACACAATCTAGGTAGGCAATTACAATGCTTGTGGTTAGTGCAGTGATAGATGTATGTACAAGGTATTATGGAAATAAGGAGCTACAGAGAAGAATCACCCATCACAGCCTGTGGGTGTTTGAAAAAAGTATGCAGGAAGTAGCCAAGTGAAGAGGGGGAAGGACAGTCATTTCAAATAGGAAGTGGCAAGTAATGAGGTTTAAAGCAAATGAATGACACAGCCAGACTTATGTTATAGATAAGTCCCTTTATTAACAGTGTGGCTAGGATTGGAAGGGGACAAGACTGGAGGCAGGGAGACTAGGAGGTGTTGTAGTAGTCCAAATGAAAAAATTATCAGTGCCTGAACCAGGAAAGTGGTCATTTGGGATAAAGTGGAAGGGCGAGAATCAAAAAATGCTTAGGCCCAGCCGGTGTTGGTCAGTGATTGTCAGCCCATGAACCAGGAGGTCATGGTTTGATTCCCCATCAGGGCACATGCCCGGGTTGCCAGCTCGATCCCCAGTGGGGGGCATGCAGGAGGCAGCCGGTCAATGATTCTCTCTCACCATT